TGTATGGTTTTTTTTTTTTTTACAGTGATATTTGCGATACTTATTGTTATTCTGTCTTTGAAGAAGATTTCGACCAGACTGCCACGCTTGCATTTTCAATAATAAAAAAAAAAAAATAATAATAAGAAATTATAGGCGCTTACATATAATTAAATCTAGTTCATCGTTTCTCAACATATGGTACGCGAAGGGAAGTTTAGTAAAATAATAATGTATTGACTCTCCCAGTTACTCTGTCCCAAAAAGTGCTTTCGAAACCAAGAATATCTTAAATTTTTGGTTGACAGTAAAAAAAAAATATTGGGCGTTGTCCACACAAGTCCTTCAGTTTTGAATCCATTATATGTGTCTACAAATCTGTCCAAAAATACATTTTTCATCTTATACAGAAAAAATAATTATCTGAAAAAATTGAATGTAGAAAATGACTTCAAGTTACTAACACGGAGTGCGATATTGACGCCCTTGTTCATTTAAAACAATTAAATCTGTACATATTTCATTACTTTTACGCATTAAATCCTTATAAGGATGAATATATGTTATAATATATATTTTCATAACTAGGTAATAAAAGGCTTTATGTATAAGCAATGTGTAGTTGGTACTCGAATATAAAAATGTTGAGAAACGCATAATTGGTGCGTTGAGAAATATATATTTGTTATTTTTTAGGCACCTTGTTATTTTCCTGATATCGGAGGAAATTGAAAAAAAAAAAATAAAAACATGAATAATTAGACGATGCCGTAAGTTTTTATTAAAATAATTAAGTTTTATTATTATTACTACTGTAATTCAGTCAGAAATAATCGTAAAAATCCAACATTTTCACCGAATACTTATTTTATATTCCTAATAAGCATTTTCTAAACGTGGTGTAATTTTCAAAATACTTTGGCTCTAATAATTATTATTGCAATTGTCTAGTTTGTGTTAGATTTATATGTTAATCAAGTTCGACAACTTGACACTATAGATTTATCATAGGTAACTTATAAGTTATCGCATAAATATGCACCTTTCGTAACTTTAAAATTTGTATTAATATTTATTTTTATCTTATAAATGTACGAAGTTCAATTATCGAAAAAAAACTTTTTTTTAACCAGCACTCGCTTCCATGTGTAGACATGATAATCAGAACGTAAACAAAAAACAAGTTTTAGTAAGGGAGTTCGGTTCAAAAAACTCGTTTATCCGCGTATTTTGTTAACAAATATAATAGCTGTGTAGGTAGTAAAAAAAAAAAAAAATCTTATGGTTCTCCGTGATCTTCCCTCTCCGTAAAAATTATTTAATAATATTACTTAAGCTATTTGTCCGTATTATATAAATGAAAAAAAATAAAATAAAATAAAACGAGATGGTCCTAATTAATTACAACACGATGCAGTAAATTATTAATGTATGCAGCTGTACCTATATTATTTTTATAATATGCACAGTATATTATCAGGGCACGCAAATACGAAAGACGTAGTATTCTATGATAACAGGACATAATTATAATATCCTATGAATTTAAATACAGATTGCATTAAGTATTTACCCGTTAATAGTATAGAATTTATCGTTTCACAATAGTTTCATAATATCGATTTTGTCTTATAGATATAATATTATATATCGGGTATAGTAAGTAAAATTAATCGAAAATATTATAACTGGCAGTTATATATAAGGACCTATACAATCATAATTATAACTATAGGTAGGAAGATTTTCAAGAAAAATCAATTTTTGCGATTTTTAGTTTATGTGTAAAAATTATATAAATTATTATAAATTATATAAATTTGTTCCCCCATCTATAAGACTAAGAGAAACATCAGAAATCTATATCCAATATTCAAGTTTGCACGCCGGTTTATGGTTTGTATAGTAGTTGACATTAAATCCATATCCAAGGTAATTGCTTCGGATTCCCATACTATGTCCTTATGTCTACTTATTACATGTTGAAAAATTCGATTCTTTGCGCGGTTTTTTTTTTTGTAGGGAAGAGTGTTGGCAAAGGTTGTGTAAAAAATACGATTAGTATTGTCATCGGAACGTTTTCATACTTTTCTGATGGAATTAAAATCCCAGAGTGGGTAATTGCCACGTTTTGCTCTCACCGAGATGCCCATGTTGCTTACCATATAGATTATACGTATAGATTTTACTGCGTATAAAAAAAAAAAAACTTCCTTTTTAATTATTATATGATATAATATAGGTATTATAATATTATACCATCGTCACCTACTGTTTAGTAGAAATCGGTCAAATAATTATTGAATAATGCATAAAATTATCTGTCTGAGGCTTTGTCTATTCAATACGAAAATGAAAACGTACAGGCAGCAGTATAGGTTGTAATGTACGTATAAAATATTCTAATATTAATTTATGTCATCCAAAAATTATCATTGTGTTTGAAAAATTATAATAAATGTCTATTGTCACATATATAAACGCCACACTCATATAAATATGATTACAATAACAATAGAATAATAGGTAATTTTCACGCCATCGGTTAATTATTATTATTATATGAATGGTAATCCTTATATTTGTTTTATCCTTAAATAAAATAAATATATAGGTAATGACCGTATAAAATATGTTTACTATATTATGTTACTATTGTTATAATAATTAAAAAAATTAAAATTAATAATGCTTACGGGCATGCCGCGGATGTAGATGAGTAGTTTAAAAAGATGTGGTATATATGCGGTAATTTAATTTACAGTATGTAATTGACAAATCATTGTAAACGAACACCGATTCTGAGTGGTGTTGACGTGTTTTTTCCATTGCTGCCAAGGGAACACAGCAAAATTAAAAAACCTCAAAATGGACCTGTTGGGTGATCTGCTAAATTTCGGAAAATTTGCACTGACTTCCCCTCCTTAACACGTGGAGTTTATTCTTGGAATATCAAATTATAATTCATTTAAATTCGAAATGTTATACATATTATTGAACAAATAATGTTTATTATTATACAATTATTATAATATAAATAAGTGAAGTTAAAAGTTACCTACTGTTTAGCTATTTTTGTAACACCCAGTTTGGTGATCAAAACGAAAATGCAAATAAAACAACGTTAAATGGATACGATATGCATACTTGGCAAAAATCGACTATAGATGATTCTTTTGGATTTTTCAGTATTTCGTGAGTAATGAGGCTATTCTGACAAGTTCATCGTATTAATATAAATAGTGGTGCGATAATTATATTTCCAAAATCATTTCAAAACCAATTTTATTTTGAAATAAACAATGTTATAACAATATTGGTAGTGCCTAGACATGTTTTACAGCTGTACCGCAAAAGAAATTTATTATCATAAAATATTCTAATGTCCTTTAATGTTAATGCACTCACGCATAAAATGTTACATAAACTTTGAAAAGTTATTATGACGTTAAAAATATATTCTCATCCATCAGGGTTAATTATTTTATTTTATTTTATTTTTTTTTACGCTCAAACGGTATTTCTATTTTACGACGAAACTTTTGAACGAACCGTGTAAAACGCTCTCATTTAAATATTAAAGCTATAAAAATATAACGGAGTTTATTATAAAATACTTGAATATTCAGATGTTTAAAATAGGTATATAATGTAATATATTATTATATTATTAATAAATGTTGATAAAAGCGTTGTAATGATAAATCGTTTTTAATTTTGAAAGAAAATTAACGTCCTACATCAAAATTATCTCCGTGTAATATTAACGTGGCCGGAAAACGATAGTCTCTGGACATTTCGGAAAAATGATATCGTTTAAATATTTGTACTATATTAAATGTTCATGAATATTATTTTTTTTTTTCGATAAAGGAGCGCACTACAGGTGAATTTTTAGTTTTTTCAAACACTAACTATATTCTAACGTTGGAACAAAATATCATTAAAATGCGATAATGTAACCTGTTGACTGTATTACAGTTTCTGAATAATTAGATGCGTATTTAGGGGAGGGGCCTTGACTTTAAGCCACAAATTTCAAGAGGTCGTCATAATCTTTTAAGTTTTAAATAATTTAATGGTGATCCGAAGAGCGATGTTTTGATAATGTTGTATTATATCAATGTTAGACTTACTGGCACAACCCCACAGTTGAATGCCATAGGTCCAAATTGGTTTTATGGTAGCTACATATAGTAGACGATTATTTTCTATAGTTAACTCGGAATGGGGTCCAACTAACCAATAAAGCTTTCGCACTTTTTCTTTAATCTGTATTTTTTTCTGGCGTACATGGTATTTCTAGTTTAAACGAGAATCTAGGCGCATTTCAAGGTATTTTGCTGAATCTTTTTGTGGAATTGATGTTTTATTAAACAAAATTTAGATTTCTTCTGTTTTACGTAACGTATAGTTTATATGTACTGATTTATTTTAATTTTCCAACGTCTTGTCCAGGTAAAGACATTGTCAATTGATTCTTGTAAGTTATCAGTTACAGTTAGCTGATTTTTTCTTGTCGACAAAATTACTGTATCATCGGCAAATATAGCTGTCATTGTGTTGTAATCCGTTTCAGAGAGATCACTTATGTAAGTTTCATTTTTCATTTCGTTAATTTTGTTATGAAGTATTTTTCTTACACGATTCTATTAGGTTTTATTCGTTGGATGCCGTGTATTATGCCATATTCTTCTCACTCGGCGTTTTTGATTAAATTTCTTTTATCCAGTGGGTATGTAGTCTGGCGTTTACCATTGATTGCTGTCGGAGTTGCTAATTTTGCCGCATTAACAATGTCGTCAGTCAATTTTTTAACTGCATTTTCAATGTTAGTTATTCTTCTTGTTCTTATTGAAAGATTTGTGTTTTTTTGGAGAGCACTTTTAAATAAGTCTCAATTTGTTTTTTTGTTTATTATGGACTTTTTTTTATTTCACTATTACATTGGAACTTAATGAGAAAAGCACAGCAATGTGATTAGACATTAACTAAATTAGAACTTCAACTTTTACATAATTTTATGTAATTCCTTTCATTAAATAAAAGTCAATAAGATCATGTAGTTTATTTGGGTCAGTTGACCAGTAGGTTGGTTTTCGAGTTGAGATGAATTGTGCTTTAATTTTATTTGCAGATTTAAACAAATCACGTCCTTTGATGGTGATCAATCTCGATCCCCAGAATGTATGTTTGGCATTATAATCACTTCCGGCAATGAATCTACTACCCGGAGTCTAGAAGAATTCAATATAATTATCATCTACTTTATATCGAGGTGGACAATATATAGCAAATGTAGTAAGGTCATTGCCGCCATCATTTATACGGAAACTTGTTGTTTGATGGTATTTTTCAAGTTCATGGTGTTTGATTTTTTTATATCACTGCAGTTCCTCTATGAGTGCAGTTACTTGGCAATTCTGTTTCTGAAATTAGAACTATGCCTATATTTCATTTTGCATAAGATGTTAAAGTTCTTGTTTTCGCTGTAGAAACCCGTTGCGTTCCATGTTATAATTCGAAGTGTTCAACTCATTTTCATTTTTTTTTTTTGTACTTTGCTTTTTAATTGGTTATTTTCGAGCTTGTCCAATATCTAGTTTTTTTTGTTAATTTTGCCATCACGTCAGAAAGCGATTAAACATTTTTTTCCTATGCAAAAGAAACATTTTGAGTGACTGGTTTCGCAGGATTTTGTTGTATTCTTTCTACTGCAGCTATTTTTTTTTTAATAAGCTTTTTCTACTGCTTTTTAAAAGCGAAGCATCCTTTCTAATTTTAAGTGTGTCCTTCTTCACAATATGCGCATTTAGCTTTTGATTTTTTTTGACTTGGTGCAGTTCGACGAAGTGTGTCTTTCGTTACATTTCATACACTTTGGTATTTTATACAATAGTTTTGAGTGTGACCAAAAGTTTGACAATTTTTGCATTATGACACTTCTTTTTTTTTTTCTTGGAGGTTTTACTTTAATTTTATGATAACACAAATTGTCAAGATTATAGATGTTTTTGTTATTTGTTTGTAGCTCCAGATCAACGAAGAATAGTGGAAGCCAATGGAACAATAGAACAATAATAAAATCACTGCCCTTGTTGTTAGGGTCAACTTTTTTATTAATCTGGACGTTCGTAACATTATGTACAAGATGTCCTAATTCAGATAATTCATTTTTTTATATTGCTAATGTCGGTTTCAGGGTGTATTTTACGAACTACCACCCAGAATTTTTTCTATGTTTTAAGCTGGTATATGTGGTACTCAACTTTTTGTTCTTGTAATACTTTTACAGTTCGTCGAAACTGGTGTTCATCGCCCGTTAGTTTCTTAATTCCACCATTTCCCAAATTTTTTTTTGTTTCTCGTATCCCTCAGCTTCTTCGAGTTTCAGATTATCCATTAGGTTTTTAAAATCATTTATACCACATACTAATATTGGAGGTGGTTTGTGGATTTTTATAGAAGTTCTCGCAATTTCTTTCATTACTTTTATTGCTTTTCTAGAGGGGCTCAAATTGTCTTCAGATCTCCGAGTGGTTATTTTTTGTTTCATGGCTGAATTTCCATTTTGAGTTTGTGTTCAAATACTCGCATTAACTACAATATTTTGTGAGGGATTTGCACGATCGTTTAATTTTCATACATTGTAATTCGATCAGTTTACGTGTGACCCACTTAAAATATATTTGTTTATAAAAACTTACCATCCGTCCGAGATCGTTTTTTGCATTATAGACATTGACATAAAAAAAATGAATAACTGAAACAGCACTATTACACGAAATGCGAGAGCAAAACGTACGTGTTGCTTGCTTTTTTGGTGTACAAATTGAAACTGTTCTTTTTAAATTTTATATTTTTATTTTTTAGTGTAATGATGTAAAATCAAAAAAAAAAGTCCGGCAAAGGTCTTATGTAGGAGGAAATTACGGTGTGTAAGGTACAGTGTTGTTATGATGTAATGACGTCGTTGTCGTCGTATATTGACGTGACGCGACCACGGTCGATGACCTTATTTCGACAACTGATCAGGTCTCGTTATATTATAAATGCGAGTTCAATTATTATTATCGACGTCCGCCGAAAATGTTGTGATATTATGGGTAAACTTGTTAAAATCAACGGCGATGACTAACGTACTTTTTAACAACGACGTGCAATTCTTATGTATAATATATCATATATTAAATTTAATTTTAATTTTATCTTTAACAATAATACAGGCCGTGGCCCTAAAGACGTAGAAGTACAGTTGAACATTACTTACTGGTAACTCTAACAATGGAAACATAATAATTAACTCGGTATATACAAATATGTATTATAATGTACCGTAAGCGAACGATGAATATTCATTTAAAAAGTACTGGTATTGCTGACGGATAGGATACTGTTATAGATGCGAAATTGAGATAATAGAAAAAATAGATTTTTAAATTTATACCTATACACGATGATAAATCATTGTCATTAATGAAAAACGATTTTGAATGAAGATAAAGTTAATTCATAGACGTAAAGAGACATTACAAGCTCTATCTTTAATATTGAAATTGATTTAGTCTTTAATATTAGTAAACATGACATATTGAAATGCTGTGATTTTATGACTTTTGTTAAAATTTAAACTTTAATTGCTTAAAAAATAACGACTATATTACGCTCAATTTATTTTTGCCATCTAGTACATCATATTATAATGAATCTTGTGTTAAATTTTCAAGCATTTCTGTTGGGTTGAATATTTTTATCCATATAATACCTACCAAATAAAAACTAAGAAAAACTCGAAAATTTTAAATGTTTAAAAATAGTTCAAAAATCTCTAAAGTGCTTTGATCATTTTACCACATCTCGAAGTCCATTATAAGTATTCTGTAAAAATTGCAGGTCTTTACGATTGTGGTTAAACAAATTATTATAAAATCAAAAATAATGAGACCGTCATTGCCATTAACTTTCTCGGTTTTCCTCCATTTTTCCCAAATATTAAGAAAACTACAAGGAAAAAAAATGACCATTACTGGATATCGTGGGCAACTGAAAACCCGTAATAATAAAAAGAAGTGTCTGTTTATGTTTCTGAGAGCGATCCATAATTAAATCTGAATTCTTTCTGATTCATGTGCAGCGAGAAGTTGAAATCCACTATTACAGACAGTGTTGAAACAGAACCTATGAAACTTATGGAAAGGCCGAGGTTGAAGTGGGGCAACGTAATAGAAAAAGCGGGCGGAAGCTTTTTAGGATGTAGACTAAATTAGAATATTTTAAATCGATTGTGTAATAAGTGTATTTTAGTAATTGAGTTTAATAATTTTCATGTTCAAAAAATAGGATATATATTATTATATAGTATTACAAGTATGAATCACACAAACTTGGATAAAATACTTTTTTAAAGTTTTCAGAATACAGTATTGAACAATTTCGAAAAAATTGTTTTTAAAATATTTGGAATATTTTATTTGGAATACTACCTTTGTGTTTGGAAACATTGACATAAAATATAATTGAAATATACCAGGTTATTGCTCTAGTATTTCCATTCTGACGTTTTATAGCACGCATACAAATTAAAAATGACAGCGTAAGGGTGCTATTTTAATTGGTTTAAATTTCACTTTAGACATTACCAATTTTTTCACACGCATTTAAAATTTGTATGCATAATATATTATTATTCATTATTAATATAATATATTATGATATTATTGATATAATAATTATACATGGCTGTATGATTATGTGATAACACAGTTTTACCCTTACGCCACCATTTTATTTTCGGTTAGATAACACCAGAGCATACATGCAATAACCTGCTTTATTTAAATCATGCTATTATAAATATTATTATTCTATTTAACTATGAAATTAATCTCGGATGGCTGGAAATATAGTTCAACACGGTTTGCCCGAGGCACGAAAACGGCAATTTCGTTTCACGCCTTGGACTCGCCTATAGTAGTTTTCTGAATTTTTGTTTGTTTCTATATAATGGAAAAACAACCAATCACGTTGACCTTATACTGGGTGTATTCTATTGTTCGTGTCAATATTTTGCCCGTCATAACAGATGATGCGCCGTGCAGCGAGTAATTGTTTATCGGAAACTACCTTTAGAATGATTATTATATATACCTAAGTATACTTATACAAAGGCGCAAAGATTGGGTAATTTTCTACCAAAGTTTTTCAATAATTTCGCATCGAAGGAAAATAAACTTTTAAAGAATTCATCATATATATTATACAAATTATATGTGTACAATAGGACAAAAAAATGTAAATATGTAATAAAACGATAAGCTTTGAAACAAGGAGTAGGTTCAAATAATATTATTAAAAATATTCAGTTTGTGAGTCCTAAAAGGTCGGTGGCATGAAGTATTTACCTTCGAGAAAAGGGATTATGAGAAATTTCTTCTTAAATGTAAATAGGTGCCTATTTTATACTTTAATTATAGTATTATGAATTTAACTTGAACACATGCCGCTAAAATTTCCATACCTTCTTCCTTTTATGTGAATAATAATATTTGTTACCGATAAACTGTAGTATTATTGAGATTTTTTTTCAGACATTTTTCAATAAGATATTCCGAAAAGAGTAATGGCTTACAACGAAAATCGGTATTTTTTTCCTTCTTCTCTTCCTATGGGAATCGTGAAAATCTTGTGAAAATATCTGATCACGAATTTCAGATCGTTTCGTGGTAATAACGTGTATTTAACGTATAGAATCACTTTATTTTCCATTGATTTATTGACATTATATAGGTCAATATAAGACACTGGCCGAGATATATTAAACAGCTATAGATAACCGACTAATAAATAAATTTGAAATTTCTGTAAGCCATATACTGACAGGGTGAGTTTTATTGAGTGATCCATGAAACATTTTTTCCTATATCAAAAATTGTGTGATGATATTTTGTATATGAATAATTTTTTGAAAATACTCACAAATGTTACCTATAATATATGATAATTAATAATTTATAATAATTTATATAATTCATGGCGTAATTAATTAATTGACACATTAGACAATACAATTTACTCTTTTAGTATGTGGCTGCTGATGTTATATACTTTATGTAGGACTAGTCAATTGAGTGTCGTAATTTGAGTGTAAGACTATCTACTACCGATTTAAACGCAATTTTAGTGCGTACACAATTTAGCACAATAACAGCATTGTATAAGTATATATTTATTTTTATTTAAAAAAAAAACTTATTTAGGTTCCTGGTATTTTTTATAATAATAATAATATATATTTATTATGCAATATCAAAGTACTAGGGAAAGTACCAGATATAAATAAACAAGTTACAAGCTCATCTAATAAGCAACATATGCTTAAGACGGATGAGCTGAGTTGATATTACGATCGTATTAAAAAAAAAAAAATTGGTACGTGGTACAGTTAAGTTACAATTATTTTTAATTGTTGTACTATACAAATGTTTGGGCTGGAATTTACTTATATTTATACATGAATAATAAAATCTCCCGTTCTCAAATTTGTGTAATAGTTCTGACGTTTAGCTCAGAATAAATTAACTTTGTATGATACAATCTAGATTTTCCTAACAAGATTTTAATAAAAAAATTAATAGTGGTAGATAAAACATTAATATGCATGGAGTATGGACAACCCCATACAGAAATACCACAAGAGAAAACCGATTGAGCCAAAGCAAAATAGATAACTCTTAGAGTTCTGACATTAAGCATAGTTTTAAGTTATTAGAACTTATTTAATAATTTTCTTATAAGATTATTTATATAATTTATATGTTCAACAAATTTTAATCTATAGTCAAAATATACGCCAAGATATTAAATACAATTTATTCTTTCAAGAGGTAAACACGTACAATGATGATTTAAATATTTACAATTAAAAGAGTGTATAAAGAGAAAAATCAAGGCTATTAGGATATCAATTATTTGTTGCATTCAAAACCATATACTTGGATTTAGCCAAATTTAATTGTAAATTATTGTTATCACGCCAGTTTTTTATTATGGAAAGACTGTTTTTAGCTATTTTATATAAGTTATCGTTGCTAAGACTTTTGACCAGAATTACTGAGTATTTATATTTACTATAATTAAATTATCACCACTTTTGTTATATTTGAATTCTCTCGTGAACTTACTATGATATGAAATATAATACCTAGGCATAAATAGTATTTTATTTAGTATTTTGTTAGAAATTACCAATTGAATTAATTATTTTATATTTTGTATTATATTTTTGGGAAATAAATAAATGCATTTAATAAACCTTTGTTTTGTGTTTATAAAATAACTGAAATAATATAATAAACAGAATTTTATGGTATCTGCGCTCAAAAGAAACTGATCAGTGAAATCTTTTATGACTTATAAAAAAAACACAACAAATCAGTTACAAAAGAATTATTACCCGCGAATAGGCGTGTAACTAACATATTATTACAAAAACACAATTTTTAATTTTTAATTTTTGGTTTTTACAATAAACTGAATACAATTTGTTTGATTTTTAAA